GACTGCACAGTCGACACCAACCGTGAGGCCCTTCCGGTCGCTTGGTCACGTGAACTGCTGGACACTAAGGAGCTTCGTACTGACTAGGAAAAACATCTGTATTGCCTCGGTCATACGGAGAAAAGATTTCGTATCGACTGGGCAAAGGCTTCGTACATACGAAGAACAGCCTTTGTATTCACTAGGAAAATCCCTCGTATCTACTACGAAAAGCCTTAGTATTACTTCTCAATACCGAGAAAATCCCTCGTATTAACTAAGGAAAACATTCGTATCCCATTGCCAAGGTTTTGATTAGGCGGCAGAAAACAAAGACAGCGCTTCGTTTACCTTCGTAAGTGCGTTCCGTCTTACATCTGATTGGTTGCGTACGAGGTACGCAATCAGCTGATCATGGTGAACTGTAGCGCTTATTGGTGGATAGAAACTTTCGTATGCCTCGTGTCAGTCAGCGGCAAACATTAAGCTTTTACTAAGCGAAATCTCAGTTTGTCTACGTAAAATCTTTGTTTACGTTCGTACTCGGCCCGGCCATGTGTAACTAAGAAAAAACTTGGTTTACCTTCGATTTTTTCCGGCAGGGAATGATTTCGCAGCTCTTTCTCGTTTAGTCGTGAAATTGCGTTCATGCTAGTTGACGTTGAAACAATTGAGGTATGAATCCGATTGGAACGCGTTGAGAACAATCAGCTCAGCTCATCAGGAGGCTGCCCAACCATCTGTACTTCAAGTAGGCCGCGTATGCCGCCAGAGATTTTCGCGCCGAAAGAGAACCGAAGTTCATTGATTTGATAGGTTTTGTGGATGAAACCGCAGACGTCGTCGATACTTGCCCTTTACCGCACGTCCCTGCGGACCACCGACCAGCACCGATAGAGGTAAAAGCTTAAACCCTCAGAGATAGGCCTCTTACCTAAACAATGAGACTTCATTGGAACGAAATTTCCTCAAATGTGTTTCTTGTGAACGATGTCACTAGTTAGATCAGTGTGATTTCCGAAAGCTCAACCACCACGAACGTCTTGAATTCTGTCGCGCCCATGGACTGTGTCAACTCTGTTTCAAACCGAATCATGACCTACCAAGTTGCCGATCACGAAAGTGTTGTGGGTCGAACAATGGTAAGCTGTTGCACCACCCGCTACCCCACGCTGATCGAAGCAACTTCCGAACACCAAACACTGAAGGATCCAGTTTTGCTCTCAGTCACGTCGAACGCTCTGTTGTATCGCTTGGTGTGTTACCTGTGCTTGTTTCTGGTCCTGCTGGCACCATTCGAATATTAGCCTTAATGGATACTTTGCTGATTGATTCAACCTTATTACAAGTTATGGGGTTCAAGGGTCCGTGACGCCCCTAACATTAGCAGTGTCGCTGGCCGATGCCAAGTGAAGTCCCAGTTGATTAGTGTAACTGCTCACTCTATAGATTGTGATGATGAGTTCCAAGTGGATGCAATTAGATCAGTCAGTCGTCTCCCTGAAAAACTTTAAACGGGAAACAGGAACAACGATTTCTACAGATGGTCTCACCTCTGTGACTTACGGTTACCGGAGATGGAAAGAAGAGTTGAACTTTGGAGTAGAAGCGATAACACATACCTATACTGCGCATTAAATCAGAGGCGCGGGGATCCTGATGATCCGTATGCTGTTAAAATGCCATTTCGGCTGGATAGTACTGGGACCGGACAAACAGTACGAGACGATGAGTGATCAATCTACACTACTGATAGTTGATTGAACAAGGAGGATAAACTCACTTCGCCCACCGACCATTAACTACTAGAACAAATGTATGGAAGGGAATTTGACGGAGTAGACAGTCCACGACTAGCCATGTCTGTGAACGACGGACGGGCATTAAGACTAATAAAAGCGTTTAAAGGAAAGATTGGTGCCCACTATGAGACTGCGTTACCAAGACAAGCCAGGAGACCTCGGTTATCATATTGCGCGTCTAGTCCCCCGATCATGTGCGTATCGTCGTTCACTATCGAGGACTCCGTGTGTTACCAGAATACGCGTATGAATAGGGTCCGTGCACAGGTTGCGCGTAACTCTCGTCTAAGCTAACACGACCAGGCGTGCACAAATCCGTTACAGTGGCGACAGAGCTTTCGAAGCCTGACAGACGAGTAGGCCGATTTGAAACTTATGCTGCAGCAGCAACTCAAGCTGATGTCCGTGCTAACCGACAAACTTCCCAGCTCTTCCCTTCACGCAGGTCCGATTGGCAATTCTCAATCAGTGGACCATGTTGTTAGTAGAATCAGTGAATTTCTAACGACGCCTTCTTCATGCCGACCTCATATCTTCCTTAGTGCACGCTGTTTGCATTTATTCTTCCAGTGGACGGCTAACTTCCAATGCGCTGCCCTGATCTAGTCTTTTCTGACCGGTCTCCTGAGCTTTGACTGCTTTCAGGCCGGAGACGTAAATGATATAGGCTCTGCAGATCCAACGCTCTGTTCCACTAACCTCGAGAGCCTCGCAGCTCTCGTTCACCCTGTATTAACATTTTCTCTTTCATCCCTATCCTATTTCTTTCTGCTGATGCTCCCTATTGGTACACCTACTTCAATTCGACATGTTACGCTCAATGTGCCAATCATTCTAATCTAGCCTGGACAGTCTCCTGCTCTCTGACTACACCCAGACGTTACACATCAAAGTTAGGTAGACTCAACGCTCTATCCACATTACCTCGAGAGTTTTAGTGTCTTTTTTAGCCTTTATTAATACGGTCTTCATCCCAACCAACACTTTGCCTTATTGTCCCCACTGTTTGCATTCCTTCTTCCATTGGATGCCTAACTCCCAATACGCTGGTTTGATCTAGTCACGGCTGACCGTCTGCTGCTCTCTGACTGCCTTCAGACTTCTATGGCGTAAATGATTAGGCTCGGTAGACCCTTTAATATTAGAGTCTCCCTCATACCTAACCTGTCCATTTCTCCCTGTAGCTAGGACCGGTACTGCCGATTTACAAGCATAATCACCAAATGTACAGTATTGGCCGAATTATTAGAACTTTTTTTCAATCAGCAACTTTTTTCATCTCATCACACATCTCGTAAGAATCAAAGGATGTAACTGGAAAATGGTTTTATTTACCAAGAATAACATATATTGAGTAGAAAATCATCAAGGTTTGCATTTCATGTATGATACTTCGGCAATTTTCAAGGAGTTAACACGCAAAGGAATAGCATGTGAGAATTTTTGTAAATGATGACAAATTGGTTGATGTAACGTGTACAGTAGTTATGTAAACGGACAGTTACCTTTTTATCATACTTTGTTATTTACAGCTGCATTCTACATTTTAGTATTACATTTGTCTGGTTTTGGATCAGTTTATAGGTATGTTTGATTACTTTTATTGTTATTTTTCAAGCTGTCTTCTCAAGTAACGACACAACCGTATTGGTCGCCAGTTTGTAGATGGTTTTGGCATATTAATGGGTAACTTACGTGACCTAACCCCTCGAAAGCGTGCACAAATTGAAATTTGGTTAAAAGAAGATGTTAAAGGAGCAGAAATTGCAACCAAGATTGGTGTCAACCCAGCGTCTGTATGTCGACTTCGAAAGAAATTACAAAAGAATTTACCCCTGTCCCCTAAACGATCCGGTTAATGTGGTCGCAGAAGAGAAAAAACAGCTCGAGACAACTCACTTCTACTAAGGGAATGCCTAAAGAATCGCAAAACATCTAGCAGACAGATACAAGGGATGTTGGAACAGCGTGGTGTTGCAGTTAGTTCAAGAACTGTAAGAAGACGACTTTTGAATTCTGGACTTCGAGCTTGCAGGCCTCTGAGGAAGCAAAAGTCGACCAAACAAATGAAAGCAAAACGACAGGAATGGGCCAAACAGCTTCCAAAATGGTCTAAAGAAAGCTGAAAGCGGGTAAGAAGCGAAAGTTTTATTTTCATAAGGATATTCCAGAAAAATTGTGTCTACATTACTTTTACCCAGTGTTCTGCGTTTTTCTGTGTTTCATTTTAGGTGGTTTTCAGCGATGAGTGCATCATCCGGTGCTCTGACCAGCAATCTCTATATGCATCATTCAACTAGTCAAACATCCTACTCAGGTCATGATATGGAGCTCTGTGAGTATCTACGGAACTGGTCGGCTCTCCATCGTCCAGGGTAACATGAACCAGCAGCAGTCCAAAGAACTACTGGAGCACCAACCGATCCCTCAGCTGTGTGAATGGTCAAAGGAATAGGGATTTACAGGGATAGGAGACTTCATTTTCATGCATGACAGTGTTCCATGTCACAAAGGGCGTGAAGTCACCCGTTTTCTTGAGGGTTGTGATATAAAAGTGTTACCATGGCCTGGTAATAGCAATGACATGAATCCAATAGAGAATTTATGGGCAATTCTAAAGTCATAGATGAAGAAAAATAATTATTACAAACAAGCAACCGCTCACTGAACAAATTGTAGAGACCTGAGCTCGCAGTGAAAGCATGACTTAACTTTGCAAAAAACTCATTCACTCCATGACTTGCGTGTTAACTCCTTGAAAATTGCCAAAGAATCATCTACGAAATACTAACTTTAATAATTTTTTTATTCTGTATATGTTATTCTTGCTAAATGTAACCATTTTACATTTACATCATTTGATTCTTCCAAGATATGCGATGAAATATGAAAAAATATATGGATTGAAAAATATTTCTAGTAATTTGGCCAATACTGTACGCACAGGAGTAACTATGATTCTCTTATCTTCCGTCTCTGGTGCCTATTGCTTTGCCTGAGGCTCCGGCTATTTCTAATTGCTACTAGGCTTAATGAGTGGTCCGTCTGGGTCACCGTCTTCGGTTGAAAAGTGGAGGTTAGTAGTTACACGTCCTGGGCGCCTCCACGTGGCGACCGCTGGATAGGAGATGGGCTTGCTCATCTCTGAACCAAGATCCAGGACAACCCACGTAGGGCTAAGCATGCTGCTTGGGTCAATTTGCGGTTACTAAACCTTACATGAAGTCAAATTCAGGCCAAGTCTCTAGTTTGATTGAAAACCGCAGCGATCATGCCGTTGTCATCCCTTCTTTGGTTCCAGTGGCGTCCGGAAGTGGAGAGCGATTGGGTATGGAGCGTGAAGTTGATCTGGATGCTATAATGATAATGGAAGATCAGGTGGTTGAAGGTCATGGCATTTCTGGTGATTACGTTGATGTCCAGGACGGGTATGTCTGCTTTTGTGGTGCAGCCTTCGGTACCAAGCGTGGGCTTGACCAAGATCCCGTGGTGCTCAATGAGGAGAGGTTAAGTATGGTGTCAAGGCGCGAAAAGATTGGTTCTAGGAAGAGGCCTCACGGTTGTTTGCGCAAGCAAGCCAGTTTCTTCCGGAGTGCGCAAACAAAGTCTATCATCGGCTCGCTGTTCAGTTTCTTGGCCGGAGTGTCGAAGGCATCAAAAAGCAATTGATGAAGATGCGCTAGCCAAGTTTGGAAGGTTTGCTTTAGGGCTCACTGGTGGTGGTCCGTGTTCTTCCGGTTGTGCTTCCTGAGGTTGGTGCGGAGTTTACGGAAAGTGACTTGGTATCCGATTGGACGACCACTAACCGGGATCCAGATCAAAACGAAGCGGCCCTTGAGCCAAAGCCCTGGCAGTTCTCCTATGATGAACAGTACCGTTCATTCCTGGAGGGTCTTCGGCGAGATTTTGACCCGGACGGGGTGTTCGGTGAGTTGATTGATTTAATACCGCCAGACGGGGAGGAGGGTGCCTCTCCCAAGCTGACTCTGGAAGCGATCAAATCGCCAATGGGGAAGGACGGTGCATCTCCTAAGGCTGTTCTGAAAGATACCAAATGGTCTATCGAAATACTTGCCCATATCATTACGGAATTGAAGCGCTTTTCCCACGGGGATGACCTGGCTGGTCAGCTGCTTCAGCTTGCTGAGCAGTTGCAAGACGGTACGCTCACAAAAAGTGCAGGTATGGTGCGTCTGTGCGAGATTACTGAGCAATTCTTTCCACTCAAATAACATCCCCCGAGGCAACGGAGCATCTGTACTGTTGGTGGCATGCGGGCGATTCGGAAGGCCAACTATGAAGTAATCCAGAAACGTAAAGATGCTGCATAGGCTATCCTGGATGGTAGTTGGCTGAGTGCGTACAAATCATAACGCGGGGGGCTCGATCAGACGATGATGAGTATGGGAGATCTGTATTCGGTGTGCAAAGTTCGGTGGATGAGAGACCGATTCCCATAGAGGAACGCCATGATTATAGTCTGATTAAGCCATTGTTTGCGGCAGATGTCGGTAATGCCCTGCGGAATGCCGGAGGTACGGCCACAGGACCAGATAAGGTGTCGGTGGCGGACTGTAAATCCTTGGAAGTGACGATTGTCGCACAGCTTTTCAATCTTATGATGGTGCTTGAGTGTCCTCCTGCATCTCTTGCGACAGCACGGCTGACGTTGGTGCCCAAGGGGTCGGACCCCAGCACGCCGTCAGGTTATCGCCCGATCGCGGATTCCTCGATTCTGATGTGGGCTTTACATAAAGTTTTGGCTAAAAGGTGGAGGTCACGTTTGACTCTGACTTCACTTCAAGTCGCGTTTCAAAAGCGGGAGGGGTGTCTTAAGGCCTCATATGTCGCAAGGTGCCGCTGTGTCGGTGTCAGCCAAATTTAGCAGTAAGTGAATTACTTATAAGTAGTATATTGTTTTAATTTTCAACGGGGTATTTTTGTAGGGCTTTTGGGCTTATAGAGTATATAATACGCTGAACGCAGCGTATTTTTCATATGTGCGAGGAGATACCTAGGTGGAGGGACGCAGAGCTACAGCTGCTGGAGCAGATAGATCGTTGGTAGCGGCATTATACGAATTGTAAGGGTCGGTGTTGCTCAGTTCAAGTGAAACGCGTCTTATTGGATTTGTTGGATCGGTTGGATAGGCTAATATCCAGGCTACTGTCGTTTCGTGAATTTGTCGTACAGGAATATGAGACGCGTTGTGGGCCGACGGGCAAGGCGAGGTTCACGTTTCTATCGGATTCGGAGGCGTCTGTATAGACGCCGGTTTAATAGACGTAGGAGAGTGCGGTTTCGTAGACGAAGAGGAAGACGTATTGTTTGCCATAAGTTCATTTATAAAGTTGATTGCAAGTCTACTACGCCTATGTTCGAGGTGGTACCTTGACTGGATTTCTTTCCTCAAGCTAAAGCTTTGCTGTCTATGTATGAACGATTCCGATTCAAAGGAATAAATATCCGTTTCCGGAGCGATATACGCGGAGGAAATATCTCGTTAGCCCAATTCAATAAGGCCTGCGTTCGGTTCGGTATTGCAGGCCTTAGGTATCCTGGAGAATTCCAGGATTGCAGAGAGGCGGACTGCGTACGGCTCAAGGGATTCTACAGGGAGTTTGTGGTTCACAGGGATTTCGCTATCTCACGCAAAACTCTATGGACCAACGGTGGAACGCCTATGTGTAAACGCAATCCCTGGACGTCTGATACCGCGCTAGGGCACTCAGCGTTTTTCCTTCAATATATCAATATGTCTGACGAGTTTCGCAAGTTCACACCCGTGGTGGGAACGCTCTACGTAACCTGCTATATTCAGTTTCGTGATCGCCGCATTGGCAATGCGGCCTTGGCCATAGCGAATTGAGTACAGAAGACGATAGTGTGTACAGAATTAAATATATTGTTTAATAAAATCTATTCTACGTAGCAACGCGTTCAAACGTATTTCAGTTGCATAGGAATAGTAATGCGAGGGTGAAAAATTAGAGATTACAATGATACGCTTTGATGAAATTTCGGCAGTGTAGCCTTTACAGTTCACTTTGTAAGGAAACTTATCAAATTACGATAAAATTCTTGTAGGGGCCATTGCCCGTAGTAATCGTCGATCACGACCAGTACATCCTGCTCGTAATCGTCCCACCAGGACGTTGGGTTCTTCCAATAAACGCCTTCAGCTTTGTCACTTTCCTCTAGGGCATATGTAGACTTGCCCTTCCCTGTGGCACCCCAGTGCCACTCGACGATTGTCTTCGTTCTTTTTCGTTGTTTGGGTGCAAGCAAGTTGTACGTCTTTCTGGTATTTGTATAGTGACGTACGAACAGTTTTGGATATTTATCACATAAGGTGAGTATTGACTCACCTCATTTTGCATCTTCGGCGAATTGGGCTTCCTCCGATTTCTGTTGGTTTGCACGGCCTGATCTCTCGTTGTTCTCTTCGATGTTGCTCCAAGGTCCTGCTGTTCTGGTGTCCGATTTTCGACAGTATCGTTCAGCAGCGATTGCATTGCTGGCGAATTCGTGGAAGCTACTTGGACAGAGCTGTTGGATAGTCGCTGCTCTGACTGCATTAGCGAATCGGAGGAAGATTTTAAAATGTCTCGTTGCGTTCGTTCCCGATTCCTCCTGGAAGGTGTACTGAACACCTGGGGATTGAAATACGCTTTCCAGTTCATCTGCAGTTTTCGTTGGGTTGTTCCAAGTGAGCAACCAGCACCGACTGCGACCCGACATTTGAATGAGTTTTGCGGTGAACGCATGCTCATTTTAAATGACGCAGGCGTGACTCAGACAAGGTTGTCTGAGTTTAATAAAATCGATTCTACGTAGAAGGAGAGGAAGGGATAGGGTGATGTATTGGCGTAGTAATCATCAGGCATGTAACGGTATCCACGGGGCACCGGTAATGGTGTTCTGGTGAGGAAACGGGGGTGGTGATCAAAATCAAAGCGTTTAAAATATATTTCATTAGCGGATAGGGTGTGGACGTCGTTGCAGGCAAGGAGACCTTGGTCGTAGGTAAATTGACAGTATGTGTTGAAGTTGACTTTGTAGCCTTGATTCAGGTGTGCCGCTTCGGTAACGTCGGTGGGAACGGTATTGAGCAGTCCGGTGTGGTCTTGCGCTGTGTACATGTAGGGAGCGCTATTGAACGCCGTAACATCTGTGGCCGTAGTACCTTGAAGCGACTTCTGTAGCGGGATATAATGTGATAGACGGAGAGTAGCGTGGTTAAAACTGCACAAAGGAAATGCTGCTCGTAAGGTTGCAAATGGTTCCGCGTACTGTTGTTCGGATTGGAGGGCCCAGAATTCGAAGATGGAGATAGGTAGACAGATAATGGAATAGGTGAGGGTGGTATCTGCTGGTTTGTATTGTTTGATGGTAAGGTGTTGCTTCCTTGTAATGGTAATCGTAGTAGTATTATAGGATGGTCGAAGGAGTCGGATGTGCTTGGCAGTGGATTGTGCGGTTTCTCCGGGTGCGTCATCCTCTGACGTCGAATCGACAGCGATTCTCTTCCCACCAGCTACCATACCAGGCAGAGAAATGACACGCACAGAAAGTGGTCCGTGGTTCTGGCAGTTCAGGGGTTCCTATTTGAACAGTGAACTTGTATGTGTTGCATCGGGCATATATAGCAGCGGCGTCGATGGGCGTGATGTATGTACTTAAGCTGTGATTGGTGGAAGTTAAAACGGTTGGGCGACGTAGGCGTACGTCGGGGGAGGGTTTAACGTGGATATCGAATGGTGTACCCCTAAATAATCCTTTGAAATCTTGAACTGTTTGTATGGTGATTCTAGGTTCTTCCATGAGGCCAACCGACTTGTCAAGAAGGTTTTGTAGAAAGAATTGGGAATGATCACCTGAGCGTTGTACGGTGCCAAGCTGGTGGTTTTGACAAATGAGCTTAAGCATGAGAGACTTGCCAGTAGTAGTGGGACTTTGCAGGCCTAGGGTATTGACGCGCTCCATTTTCTTGTTCATTATGTTATGTACAGAAGTGCAAAAGGCGTCTTTATCGATGTTGTTAACACGTAAAAGGTCGTCGAAGGACGTGGTATGAGTGTCTGTGGGATGTGTGCGTGTGTCATGGTGGTTGTTTTCCTGTATGTATTCCTTGTAAGTCATAGAGGATTGATGTCGTAAGAGTTCCTCATTGTACACTTCGATACATTGCTTGGCTGTCTCTTCCCATTGAATACCGAATTCGATATATAGGGTCAGGCGTTGGTTACGAGTGAGACGTACCTTTAGATCTTTAATGTGAGTGGCATGGTGGGCTTCGATTAGGTCCATTAGGAGATTGACATGTTTAAGGCGATTGACATTTTGATGCTGTATTCGGCGAGAGTCACGCAAGCTCAGATTGCAAAGTTTGAGGCTAAAAGAAGCAAGAATACCAACTTGGACGAATGGCACCGGGAACGAAGGTAGTCATTCAAGGAGGAACACCAAGAATACAGGAAGCAAACGGAACGATCCAACGTTATACTATCTTACCCGCATTGGGTAATGAGTGAACGGCTTCGAGTACAAGATCCGGAATTCCACGACAAATGGTACAGTGAGATGCAGTCCACCGGCATCGAAACACCTGTTCCAAAAACTAACAAATCTTCCGCTGAAATACACGCACAACTTATACGTCATGTTTTAAGACGAGCAGCTGCATATAACGTGGACTTGGACGTTTCACAACCACGTAACTAACCCTCTTCCATGATTGGCGATATCTTAGAACCATCCACTAGTGCTGCTCCAATACCATCTACCAGCATTTCAGCCATCAACGAAGCCGATTTAACAGAAATGCTTGACACACTACCACAATCTATTACACCAGTTCCCGATGATATACTCCAAGACAATTCACAAGCTGTCGAAGACCACAATGTCTTTTTACAGGACGTCGTTCAAAAGATTAACTCTACAGACAATCTATGGACCTTCATATTCAGAGGATCTAAACCAACCATTCTATCAAATAACCCGTATCAATGCCATTTTAATCCAACATGATGATCACTATCATGCCGATTTCCAATCCATGGCACAGAATAGGAACTGAACACTCCGTCATCTTCTCCAAGTACTAAGTTCGAGAATGAAGGACGAGGAAAGGCCCTATGGCCCGGTGATATCTATTGGCTGCGTGCCGCGCCTTGTTTGTGCAGTTGTAATCCTTTGCAGTCACACCACAACTCAAGTTTCTCTCTCCAGAGACCCTGAACAGTCCTATTATCCTCCACCACACTCTTCATTAGACGGACTGGAACATTTGCACTTCTGATGTCAAACTTGCACTCCTCTGTCTCCAGAAGGCCCCGCACTAACGGCGACGGCGAAGAAGATAGCCAACCGAATTTAGCTCTTTGAGCAAAAGGAACAAGATTGCTCCACGACAGCAAGCCGAGACCCCCAGCCCCCGACTCGTGTAAAAGATGGAGCGAAACATCTTATAGGTAACGCATCCACTCCCGCACTTTGGCTCGCACCATCTTATCCATCTGCTGCATGGTATTCCGATGAGCGTTCCGCAGAACCAACTCATGAAGCCATTTGGGAAATACGAAGTTACGCACCATATCCAGACGTTGTTTCGGTTTCAAAGGGGAACGAGAGATCTCGTTGAGCCACTCAGCAAGAACAGCGGTGCTTTTTACCTGGCATCTCCTCTTCCAGTTAAAGCTCAAACCTCGATTGGATTTCTTTCCTCAGGCTAAAACTTTGCTGTCTATGTATGAACGATCCCGATTCAAAGGAATAAATATTCGTTTCCGGAGCGATATACGCGGAGGAAATATATCTTTAGCCCAATTCAAGAAGACCTGTGTTCGTTTGGGTATTGCAGGCCTTAGGTATCCTGGTGAATTCGCCGATTGCAGAGAGGCGGACTGCGTACGCCACACGGGATTCTACAGGGAGTTCGTGGTTCACAGGGATTTCGCTATCACGCAAAACTAAATGGATAAACGGTGGAACGCCTATGTCTAAACGGAATCCCTGGACGTCTGATACCGAGCTAGGGCACTCAGCGTTTTCCCTTCAATATATCAATATGTCGCAGTCGGTGTTGGTTGCTCACGTGGAACAACCCAACGGAGACCGTGGATGACCTAGAACGCGTGTTTCAATCCCGAGGTGTTCAGTACACTTTCCAGGAGGAATCGGGACAGAACGGCACAAGACATTTTCAAATCTTCTTGCGATTCCTTAATGCAATCAGGGCAACGACTCTACAACAGCTCTGCCCAGGAAGCTTCCACGAATTCGCCACCAATCCGATCGCTGTAGAACGATACTGTCGAAAATCAGACACGAGAACCGCAGGACCTTGGAGCAACATTGAGGAGAACAACGAAAGACCAGTCCGTGCAAACCAACAGCATAAATCGGAGGCAGCCCTATTCGTCGAAGACGCAAAGAAAGATGAGTCAATACTCACCTTGTGTGATAAATATCCGAAACTGTTCGTACGTCACTATATAGCGGGCTAAGCTAACGCCATCAGGTCAGCGCAAATCCGTTCGATTGGCCAGCGATCCAATACGTTACCGTAGGCGTGCTCCAACCGTGCCAGCGACAATCTTATCAGGCGTTACGCAATCATAATAGAGGCATTTTACGCAATTGTAACAGGTTCCCATAGAGAAAGGCCATGATTATGGTCTGATTAAGCCATTGTCTAAGCAGATGTCGGTGATGCCCTGCGGAATGCCTGAGGTACGACCACAGGACCAGATAAGGTGTCGGTGGCGGACTGTAAATCCTTGGAAGTGACGATTGTCGCACAGCTTTTCAATCTTATGATGGTGGTTGAGTGCCCTCCCGCATCTCTTGCAACAGCACGGCTGATGTTGGTGCCCAAGGGGTCGGACCCCAGCACACCGTCAGATTATCGCCCGATCGCGGATTCCTCGATTCTGATGTGGGTCTTATTAAAGTTTTGGCTAAAAGGTGGAGGTCACGTTTGACTCTGACTTCACTTCAAGTCGCGTTTCATAAGCGGGATAGGTGTAATAAAGCCTCATATGTCGTACGGTGCATTTTGAGAAGGGTTCAGTCCGACTGCTTGAAAACGGACGTGTTCGACACTGTGTCAGTTGACACAATCATTCGAGCCGCAGCAGCACTTGGAGCCCCACCAGAGCTTCAGCGTTATTTGCGTGTGTTATGCACCTCCTCAAAGTTGCTTCTTGGCGACGAAGTGTTGCATTGTCACAGAGGTGTGAGGCAGAGGGACCCTCTGTCTCCTCTCTTTTTCATCATGGTAATGGACGAGATGATTGCTACTACCCCCTGCCTAGTTGAGGGGTGCGGCTATGTGGCGAAGAGATTGGTGCATTAGCATACGCGGATGACCTTGTGTTGTTCGCTTCCTCCCAAGAGGCGTTGTCTGTGAAGATGGTGGCATTACAGCAGGCTCTTTTGGCAGCAAGTATTTCGTTGAACGCCTCGAAGTGTCAGGCCATTACGGTCCAAACGCTCGGCAAACAGAAGTGCATCTTACTGGTGCCCCAAGCTTATCCCCTGATGGGGTGGGGGTGAGATGAGAGGTTTTGGTGGCGGATGAGATCCGTTACCTTGGTTTGCGCTTTAACTGGAAGAGGTGATGCCAGGTAAAAAGCACGGCTGTTCTTGCTGAGTGGCTCAACGAGATCTCTCGTTCCCCTTTGAAACCGAAACAACGTCTGGATATGGTGCGTGACTTCGTATTTCCCAAATGGCTTCATGAGTTGGTTCTGCGGAACGCTCATCAGAATACCATGCAGCAGATGGATAAGATGGTGCGAGCCAAAGTGCGGGAGTGGATGCGTTACCTATAAGATGTTTCGCTCCATCTTTTACACGAGTCGGGGGCTGGGGGTCTCGGCTTGCTGTCGTGGAGCACTCTTGTTCCTTTTTCTCAAAGAGCCAAGTTCGGTAGGTTATATTCTTCGCCGTTGCCGTTAGTGCGGGGCCTTCTGGAGACAGAGGAGTGCAAGGTTAACATCAGAAGTGCAAATCTTCCAGTCCGTCTAATGAAGAGTGTGGTGGAGGATAATAGGACTGTTCAGGGTCTCCGGAGAGAGAAACTTGAGTCGTCGTGTAACTGCAAAGGATTACAACTGGACAAACAAGACGCCGCTAGCAACCGATATATGTCATCGGGCCGGAGGGTCTTCCCCCGCCTCTTTATTCCTTTTACCAAGTTAAGGGGTGGATTCTTGCTTACGAAGGTGTGGAGCTCCAGGGGGATTTCCCGGATGGCTGATGATGTCAAGTGCCGTGGTGGTTGTGGGGAGCCAGAGTCTATCGGGCACATCTTGTAGAGGTGTTGCCTTACCCAGCATGCTCGGTGCAGGCGACGTAATCGAGTGTTAAGGAAAATTGTAAAAACTGCCAAGCGGAAGCATGAGACAGTTGTTACAGAGAGCTTACAGCTAGCAATCAAGCCGAGAGCAGTGCCGTAAAAGTGGATCGATCTGCAATTAGAGATCGAACTCGACTATAGATCAAAATGCGAGTTGATGTGGAATCAAAGGCAAGTTGGATCACGAACTTGAACTATTTGAGTTGTGTTAATTAACCCCAATTAGCATCTCCAATATTGTTGTTTATGTAATTGCCCACAACCTATTTATTGCACAAAACGTCTCTCTGTCTATCTAGTTGTGATCTTTTGTATTCCGTTGGTGGGCTGGGCGCGTGACTGAGCAGTCATAAAGTCGCAGTCTCAAGGGGCAGCTAGCAGCAGTACAACAGTCGTCAGTGGCAGAGAGCAGAGGTTAAGAAGAAGAGTTACAACAACAGTATATGTTGAGCCCATCATTACATTACCGGTGAGATACTGTAAACCGGATCACATAATTTGCGCCAAAGGGTCGATAATTGTTGCAGACGTGGCTGGCACATCGGCGCACAGACAACAGCTGGCATACCGTGAGAAAGTTGCCAAGTATACGGAAGCATGCAATTCGATACGGGCATACCTTGGTGACAAGGGGGTCCAAATGACCAATGTGGTACAATGGCCAAACATCATCTCGGACTGTGATTATATTTGGAAGGGCTCTGGTGGAGCTCTTCGTCGTCTTGGATTAGCAGACCGTGACATCTCTGAATTAGCTCTACTGGTCATCGCGTGGGTCACTGAAGTGCTATAACGTATATATGCGGGGAACCTAATCGTCTCCCACTTTCTGTTCGTTACAGGTACTGAGGAGGGACACTATGAAGCGGAAAGCCCAAGCCTTCGGGAGGCCGACGCTGACGGACAACGGTGTGAGAGCAAATTGTGTTCGAGGACACTCTCGGAGCTTCGGGAAGACAAATGAAGAGGGATCTTCTTTGGAAGGATTACAATTGGTGTTCTCCCTATCCCCAGGAACCTTCTTACACATTCCCTGGAACTTGAACTTTCACTTCAGTGCATGAACTGCATGACCATTTTTGTCTATCCTGTACCCCGTTTTGATTACTCGGCCCAGTATTTTTAATATTAATTAG